CCTTCCTCTATATATATATATATATATACATAATTAGGCTAATTAAAACCTAAATTTAGACTAACAACATTTAAAAATTTTAATATTCCTAATTATTAATAATTTTATTATTCTATAACTATATTTTTGCATTCTGTAAAACGTTTTTTAAAAAATTTTTAACACAGAAAAGTGTTTTATTCTTTGTGTTTTATTTGTTGATGCAAATACATGTTTCCTTTTTGAAGAAATGTTTCATTTTTCTTTCAAAAAAATTTTTCTTTAAAAAAGCTTCTTTAAATTACTAATAAAGATAAGAAACCAAATATAAAGGTTCTTTTAAAATAAGATCTTAAAATATAATATGTTTTAAAATTTTAGAAATGCAATTGTACTTACTTACTAATTTTATCTGAATAATTTTAAATAGAGGATTTTAAAAGAAGGTCAATAAAAAGACATGGAAAATTATTCAAAAAATGTTTTTTTCCCAGAGCTCGATTCTTCTTTAGAAAAAAACGTTTTTCTGTTTTTTTTGCTTTTACCTCCCTTTAAAGATGGTTCCTCTTCCGGCGATTTAAATTTCTCAGGAAAATAACAATACTACTTAAGATTCTGACAAAATTGGCAAATCATGAATTTATATTTGTCACTCTCACAACATTATGTTGCTTTTCTTAGATTTATTGTTTTTATTTTTTTCGTTAATTTCAAAATTAAGGGGATCCTAAAGTGAAGCTCGAACTCCGACGAAATCACCAGATGTCACTGTTTTTTTTCAGCGCATTGACATATCTTTATATACTACCACATCAATATCTCACGTACACATACGTACAAATTTTCTAACTAACTAATCTTTCGTATTAAGTATCTAAACCTAATTCTAAGTACTCAACATTGGTTGTTCATGTAATCCCTATTCCAAACCCAGCTAATTTTATAGATACAAAGTACAAAATTTTTATATAAAACAAATATTGTTACTAGTCGACGCTAGAAGACGATAAAAAACTGTAATTTTTCAACTTTTTTTCGTTTTTCACACGAAGTAAACCGGTTTGGACTACATTATCGCTTATATTTTAATTGTGGAAAAGGATTTTTAATTCTGTAAAGATAGTTAGAAAAATACTTATTTGAAAAATAATCGGTAAAACAGCACTTTAGGATCCCCTTAAGGATTAAAATAAGAAAAATCATAAATCTCAACTTTTGCCAATAATCTGTGCTGTTTTTATCTCATATAATGTATCTATTCGTTATATTATAACGTATTATGTAATATAGCATTGTTATATGACATATTATTATGTTTAATACATTGGAAAGAGAAAAACAGAGAAAGAGAGAGAGAGAAATTCTACATTTTTCTATAGTTATGAATTTGTCTTAAAATCCAAAATTTTTTAATTGTATTTTAAAACAAATTCATAATTAAGAAACACGTAAAATTTAATCAATGGAATTAAATATCTAAAATCTATAAAATCGATTCCTTTCTAAAGTAATTTAAACATGAGTTTGCCAAGTACTGATTACGACTATAATGCTAATATGCGTTATTGTCATATTAGCGATATGTACTGCACGCGTATGCGCGGTTTTCCGCAATCCTCGATAGTCGCCCGAAAAGGCGTGTTGGTGTGCAGCAGTGAATTTTGGGTGATAATATAACGGTGCGGCAGAACGTGCCTACGCGTTATATAGGAATTGGTGCATGGCAAACGGGGCAAAATAATCGGACGTCGAGAGTTATGGGGCGCGAACCGGCGACCGGTTAATCAGCCACCGATAATTATCGACACGGGCAGTACATCACTACCCTTCCTCTCCGAACGCATCCTCTCTCGGTCCTCCACCGCGATCCGCCGTCCCCCGTTTGTTCCCGAAAGCCCGCGTTGCAACCCCTTGCAACCGACCCTTTGCCGAGACCCCGCGCTTCCACCCCCTACCTGCTGGCGGCTCGGCATCCCACCACCTGGCGTGACAAACGCACCGCCGATACCATCATTTATTTCGCAAATGTGCTGCAAAACTGCCGCTATTCATTTTCGGTCCAGTCGATTCAGTTTTCCGCTCCGAGGGTCCGCCCTGATGGCCGTGCGCGCGGCTCTGTGCAGTCGTGCGATGGTTTTATCGTTTTGCGACGGCACGATCGCACAGACCAACGCCGATAATGCGATTTCTCGGCGGTGATTTTTAACCGTTGAGTGCAATATATTCTACGATAAATTTAAAAATCTCTTATTTTTATACATCGTAATTATTTTTAATATATTTGACAGGGATTTATCGTTGGAATTTATAAGAAGTTTGACGAAAAATTCATATTTTTATAACACTTTATGTATCTAATAATAATACGTGAATAAATATTATCTCTACATTTAGATAGAGACTTATGATAGAACTTTCAGATAATATAATTGATAATATAACTTATTCTAATACATTCTAATTGTTAATACGTTGTAATATGAAGAGATAGGGCAGACCTAATAACCTAAGATGTCATTATAACGATGATTTAAAGTCATTTTTTATTTAATATCGATCAAATAATGACTAAATAATGACGTAAAATAAATGTAACGTTTATGACTATATATTATTGTTATAAATATATCGTCATTTCATCGTCATTTTTAAATTATATTTAATGAATAAATAATGGATGACACTCTTAATTACTGTTGTTCTTAATTAGGCAATAATTGCAGGTAAATAAATATATATTCTTACTTTCCCTATAGCACAATTTGTTAACACTGATCCAATTAATACTGATCCAATATATCCCAAATGTATATCAATGTTTAATCAATGTATCAACGAATTGTACTATTAAAGTTGCAATTATTACCTAATTAAAAAAAATAATAATTAATAACTTTATTCCATTATTTATTCATTACAGCTATTTCTTCTATAAAAGTTATGTCTTATTTTATATTACTTATGGTGTAAAATTATTTATTTTTCGTCATAGTTATACCATAATTTTGTTGTTATAGGTATCACATCATTCGTCTGTTCCTTAGGATTTCGTTTCTGACGTCTTTTAGTAATATTATTGACTCACAATAAATATTATTTTGACGACATCTTGCAATTGCAAACACCTAAAAAAAAGAAAGGGAAAAATTAAGCAAAACCGACAATTATTTATCACTTATGGAAGTCTTTATTTAAAGGAGATAAGTTATTTGGCTTCAAACTACAATAATTTATGTTATCAAAATATAAACTATAATTTTTTACAAATAACGAAACCTTTATTGTTCAAAGTTATCCGCTATCACGCGGGATCACCAGGTTGAACTGGATTTTACTTTTTACTTAAAATTATAGTTTATATGTTGATAATATATAAATGTTAATTGTTTGTACTTTAAAATCAATGTATCTTTTGAACAAAGACTTCTATAATTTATAACTAATAATCGGCTTTATTTAACTTTTCTATTAAGTATTTCTAATTTCTCTATTCTTTCCTACATTCAAAACCTGTTAATAAAATTTATCTTAAAAGGTGTATGGGTCGCTTGTTATAGTGCGGTATTAAGCGTATGTCATTAGCAAACTACCACTGAATGCGAGCAGTGATAAGTCATCACTAATATACTGAAATAGTATATTCGTGTCTACCTCGTGTTCGAAATTTTTCCACTCTCGTCTAATGGTAGAGTGATAATGGAAAACTCCGAGTTTTACAAGATCAATTCGAATCTACGCGCGGGCTGTGCGAAGTAACGTACTCGAAAAGGGGACTTTCCGTGCCATTACTCAAAGATGGCATTGGAGTCCAGCGGCCTAATCTCGGCACATGAGACCTTAATAGGATTTTAAGGCGTCGAGACCACCTGCGCGCTTCCCCACGGTCGACCTCGTTTGTCTTTCCTCTCCGCCGGTTTGGGCATTCTTATTGCACCCAAGGATTGAACTGATACGCCTCTTTGACTTCGCGACAGAGAGAATATCGCTTAACATTTCACCTGACTGTTGAAATTCAAAGATTATTTGCGCTTATTGGAATAAAACAATCTTATCTATTATTATCTTAATTTATATAACACAGTACACACATGTATACATTGATTTGTATAAAAGATTAATTAAGTCCTAAACTCACAAGTCAGTCATAAATTTGCATGTGCAATAAAAACAATGTACTAAATTACTCAATATTGATTTTATTTTGAAATATTTCATTTTTGGAAATAAATTTTTATAAAAAAGAATCTTTACTTTATCTCCTTTTTAATTTACAAGCCGAGATTTTACATTCTTTACTTTAATCTTACATATCCATTCATCTTTTATAGTGATTTTTTGAAATTTAATCGCTAACATATCAATGTCATCATACTTATAATTTACAATAAAATATATTATTGTGTTATATATATTTGATGCAATATATGTTTGTATGGTACTAAAACGTATGCTGTAATATTTATATCGTAATATAAGGAACGTAATTGATGGATAATTCCCTGAAATGCGATATTTGATCGATTATATTACAGGGTTGGCGTGGGCCGGGCGCATTTCGAGAAACAACCACCGAGTAACCTGAGGAAGAGCAATTTTTTCCATTTTGTAATCGCCCTTTACGATCGACATGGCCAACCTATTGAGATCGAAAGGACATCGTTCATGGGCTTCGTCGAAAAGGATCAGGTAATGATTTCTGCTATTACGTTCGAAGAAACTTTCACGCAATCCGATAAACTGTCACTATGATTACGATGCAACTGTCCTAAAACATAAAGACGCAAGAAAAAGGAGCTTGAAAAACCCGATCGCGTCGAGATATTTTTCTTTCAGAACAGCGCGCGACGATAGAGAATGATGGCGAACGAAAGCGGCCGAGTTCGCGAGTATCCGCGGAAATGAGCGACGATAGCGGATGATTAAGTTCGGAATTTCAATGCTTCGCGCTAACCGCCGCTCTCTAGGGAGACCGGATGGAAAAAAAAGGAGAACAGGCCCTTTATAACGCCAGGGGAATATCGTGCGAGCGCGCGCTTATCTCGATAATTGCCGTTTCCATCGGGGCCGGCGTCAAATATTAAACAGCACCGCCTACGCGTGTACGCGTACGCGTATTGATGATCCGTAGAATCCATAGCAGCGACTCTTTTCCGGCAATTAGCCGGACAAGCGAAAATCCATCGGCCGCGTGAGAAATGAACGGACGCGATGCAGGATCATAGGGGTGGTCACGCGAAGCGAATGACCTACGAATAATAAAGAGCGCCCTTCGAGCGCCTTCCACCCACGCTCGCCTCATACCTTCGATCGGAGATTACGTTCTGTCGGGCGTTTATTAACCAGACACTCGTGCGCGAAATATTGAGGCTTCTACGAGAAATTACCATAATTGTCGACGATACAGTCTGCAACTAATTATACAGCAGTAGAATGAATTCTGTCATGCTTATACATTTTATCGCACGACGCGTTAGCATACATATTTGTTACGTACGTACAAAAGGGCACTACGGTCGTATGATTTTAAGAACTATCACTTCACGGTTATGAAAACGCGACGAAGCTATTTTTTTATGTTCAATTTCATCGTTCCGGGTATCACAGCTGTCAGTAATAACGGCACATGACAGGAACAATGCTATTACAAAAATCACAATTGTTTGGATACCAATAGAACTATTTTATAATTATCATAACAAAAAAAATTAATATAATTATGAATTTGTAAGAGCAGAGAAAGGACATAAAATAAGATTTTCTTTCTACTGATTTTGAAAAAAATAGATATGCTTTAAATGAGAAAAAAAGCCTTGTTCCAAACTTCTAAGGGCTTAAAATAAACATTGAAAATGAACAGTGAGTAGAAAAGGCAGTGAAAATAAGCAGAAAAGATACGTGTTCGGATTAACAAGATTCGAGATTTGGAAAAATAGAATGCTATGTTCCGTGAGAATGAAATACTTCTGAAAAAGAAGCTTTTTTGATGAGATTTTCGAATAGCTGTCAACTAACTTGAAGAATAATCAGAAGAAATATTTTAAGAGATATTTTAGTCAATGTTTATGAAATTGTTTTATGTAAATTGTTTCATATTGTTTAACATAACTCAAGATAAACAAAATATCTGTAATATAGTGTATTATACAATTTTTTATTTTTTTTTTAATTCAGAAATGACATGAGTTTAACGTTGAGTGCAGAAAGGATATGAATCCAAATCTGAAATCTAAGTTTTTTCTTTAAACATTTTTGGTTAAACATTTCTGAAACTAAGAATGTTTTAAAAATATTAAATATTATATTTAAATTCTCAAAAGTAATTTTATTAGTGTTTTTACTGGCATTAAAATTGAAATTTTCTATTAATACTGAAAAATTTGATAAATGTGACTTGTTTTTTTTCTTTCTGCACTCATCGATTTAATTATAATTTCATGAAGGAATTAAGTAAATTAGTAAGGATGTAGTGTTTGATTACCTTTTAATGCACATAAATTGTGACAATTTTATACAGAAATTAAATGATAGCTGTTGAATAATTCTATTATACTTTCCGAATCGACAACGAATAACTCGGTAACTCATCACGATAAAAGTACAGCTGTGAATCTAAGTTCCGCTTGTGGAGTTATCGTGTAGAACGATCTCGCGACCCCGAAAGTGTGCTCTCAAACGGGACGCGATTGTCAGCGCTCAGTCATCGTTAGAGATCCACTTTCTATTGGTCAATTAGTATAGCTGTTTAAGGAGAAGTTAACTATCGTCATGTGACGCAGCGTCTATTCTTGCGTAAGTGAAATCGTTATGTTGGGAGATAGACCGTGTGGATAAACGGACGCGAATTTGCACAAATATAACATATCTTCGGTATGTATGCACTGCATGTGCATAAGAACATTAGTGCACACTACGCGCTTCATGGCGTTACATCATGGCTCGATTGATCAGATCTATGTACGATACGATACGCTATGTACGTACGTAACGCGAGACATACACGGTACACCAAACAAACGGCGGAAATCCAGATGCACGGCATGAGGAGGAGGACCAAGGTCCACGAGCGTATAAATTATCGAAACGTAATCCCGACCGTAACCTCTGGAATTCTAGCGATCCCCGTTCGTGCAACGACGATGCTCTGTCGGAAATCTCTCTGTCTCTTTCTCTTCCCTCCTTTCTCTCTCTCTCTTTCTCTCTCTCGATCTTCCCCTTTCTCTACTTCTACGCTCCGGGGTAACGAGGTACACCCCCTAATAAATCTATCCGCCATAAATCGTCGGCTAATTCGACACACGAAGACGTACAGTTAGATCGCGTTGTGGGATGTAACGTCGTAGATTTAAGAACATAAGGTGTGAAATGACTCGCGAACTGCGATTTGGAAAGTTGCAAAGTTTGGTGAATCGATCGCTCCATCAATCTAAAGCATGCCTGATAAGAGAAAATAACTAATGCCTTTTCAATATTACGTATAACACGAGAAAATAATCCAATAATCGTATTCTATATATTTTAATCTGACTCCTAATAATTTTGTTATAAAAGTTATATGATACTTTTAACCCGAGATTGTATATTTACTTCTTAACAGCTATTAATGGCATATCTTATTTTGTATCTAACGCAAGGCATATTTAAGTTTCACCTAATATAAACTTTGAACTCAACTTAATTCAAGATTGAATAATTTAGTTAAATCAAATTTTGTACATAATGCGCAAGTGTTTAATTATTCACATTGCAATGAATATTAGGTCATCTCACTTCGCATCTTTCTCATGTCTGTCTCTCCTTTTCTTTTCATGAATCTATAACGTTCCGTTTAGTTTCGCTCTCATTTCTCTCTCATCCTCCTATCCCGACCTTATAATACGCACATAATTCACGTTGTCGGAACAGTTGCATCGCGTGGCCTCCCTATTAATTAGGGTCATGTACCGCGGATATGCATCAACCCCGTGTCGAGTTTGTACCTCAATCCACGCATATCCTCCTCTGACCCACTGTCTTAATTGAATTTCTTGTATTCTGATCGAAATATGTATAATATAAAAATGTTTGCACGTGTCATGTTGCTGATCTTTAATTCAGCCCTAAAAAATGAAAAAATTTTAATATAATTATGAATTATATCAAAATACGAATAGAAATATGACATATTATAGATTAAAATTTTATTAGAAATATCGATAATTATTTGGCGTTCGATAATATTTTAGAATTGACTCATAAAAGAGTTTCAATAATATATTCGTGTCTTCTTTCATCTGAAATAAAAAATATATAAAAATCAGTAGATATATAATATTTGCGTGTAAGTGGCTACGTTTACACCGTGCGCTTAGTCCTCGATCTATACGATAGGTGTCTTTATTTAACCTACAGGATAAACAAGGACATCTATTGTATAGGCCGCGGCCTAAATGCATCATGTAAACGTAGCCACTGATGTTAAAACGATCGCTTATCGCAGACATAGAGAAGCAGCGAATTGAGTCTTACTAAGCTCGATACGGTATAACATGACGCTACGCTTGTACGCATTATTCCCGGAAATGGACGCTCTAGGTAAATACATAGCATCTCCCTGTTCCGCTTTTTGTTGGTGTTTAATTAAAAAGTAGTCAGAGCAGACGAGGAGAGAGAGAGAGAGAGAGAGAGAGAGAGAGAGAGAGAGAGAGAGAGAGAGAGAGAGAGACTAGCTCGACCTATCCGCGTATATATCTGATTAACGTCCATCGTGCGCCGGACGAATTTAGAGATTAATGGTCGCGACGAACGCCGACGACAGGAGAGAGCTTAATGCGTACGCTCGGACCACGCGCGCGACGGAAAAAAGGGAAGAAAGACGTCGCCGGTCAGACGCCGATCGGCGAAGCAGGGCCGATTATCCGATGAAGCGAGCGCGGATATGGATGGAGGGAGTTATTCCGTTAGAAAAATGATCACTTCCCGTTCATTCGCGGAGAAATCTTGCGATGGATTTATGCGGTTTTCTTATCCGCGTCGACTATTCCCGTGCTTAAGCTGATAAGCCATAATCTTGATATCTTCTGAGGAACTCGTACTCATCGAAATGGAGCTACCGAGACAGTCAGGCTCGAGAAATAAGAGAATTTAAAAGTATGAGATTGTCACGACAAACGTAAAATGGAAAAGTGAATATATATGTTAAGTCTTTTCCAATTTATATAAATTTTATTATTAATTACTTTATAAAAAGTATTATATATATTTTATTACATATACAATATAAGACAAATTATTACATAATCGTAAAATAGGATAACTTTGGCTCAAATTGAAAAAAAATGCCTAGATAGCATTTCATGAGAAGACGTCTTTAAGACATTTTTAAGACGTTTTATATTCCAATTTTGACATTTATACTGTCTGGGCATTATCAAAATATGGATCAAAATTATTCTAATTTTAGACCAAAGTTATCTTATTTTAAGATGCTTAAAAATTATTATTCTTATATAGCTTTTATTATTTGTAATTAGCTAATTGAAATTTATTTTCATCGCAGTTAATTAATTTAGTCAAATATAATCTTACATTAAGCATCTCTATTTTGTTATAACATCTGTCGAATGTATCCGGCCATAAAATCGCGGTTATTATTATATTAATTAATTAATCGTGACCATATAGAACCATATAAACCATATAAAATAGACAGAAAATTAATTTACAATTAATCTATTAAGATAATTGCAAATAATCATGTAACATCATTTGCACATACGTTAGAATAACAAAACGAGCCAATGAAGTTTTGCCACATCTTTGCGCGTAATTACGTTAATTTGACATAAAATCGATCGGGCTGCCAACGTTTATCCTCGAGTCCAAAGGCCGTATTACACGACTAAAAGTCGTGGTCGTGGGACGGAGGGGGCGGTCGTGGGTGTACCACCGACCATGATGTTCCGGGGGTAGGTAGTTGAAAATGCATTACCGTGGTCGCGGCATATGGCACGGTGCACGCATGACTCGTCAACGGGGCAGGATGATAATTATGCATCGCACGCCATACGTAATGGCATGGCTCTTACCGGCGCATCAAGAAATTAATAATTAGCGTGAGGTGGAGCAGACCGGGCACACACAGGCGTTGCGTCATGGTGCACTTAATTAAAATAGAATGGAACGCGAGGAACGCGCGAGACCGCATTTGAATAGTTAGATTTTTTAAATGATAAAAATTGTAGATAATTTGATAATATGATCAATTTAAAACGAAATATATCCATTGTGATCAAAGATATGTAAATATTATGTCTATTTTTCTAGGAGTCTGAAGGCCAAAAGACGAACAATGGTATTCAGTACAGTCTACATCTACTCTATTCTAATGGTAAGTAACATTTAATCCCTTTCTCTACTTGAACCGTCAATTGATATCCCGCTAAAACTGCCGAAAATTCCGATTTAGTGATTGCCTATTTTTGTTTTTCATTTAGTGAAAAGTTATTTTGGTATTTGTATCGTTATAATTATTTGTTTTATATTCACATGTTTTCAACATTTTGTGTATTGGAACATACACTACGTATCTAATACAAAATAAAGACAATTATATATTGTTTAATACAAAAAAAGAAAAAAATTGAAACAATTAGTGGATCCAAAATGACACCATCGGCAATTCTGGTGTCTAAGAAATCATCGATTACTTAAATTTATGTGTAAGTTTTAATTGTCAGTAAATTCTAATCAATTTGATCACTTGTTTTTCCGTGTATTTAGTTATTTTATAATTAATTTCTTGCGTATAATTAATTTCTATGCTAAATATTAAACACATCTATTTCAACGAAACTATGTGTATATGTGTGCGTGTGTGTATGAGTATTGCCAATTACATTCATAAGGCGATCGGATAGAGCCTCGAATCGATCTGTATTAGTAGCCGGGTAGTGGGACACGTAATAGCCCCATCCGCAGCAATGATGACGGGCCATCGACATTCCACATGGACACCCGGTCTCTTAAGACCGCTAAAAAGCTCAGGGACTTTCGAGGCCCGGGCGCAACAGAGACATATTTTACGTCGCTGACCCAGGCATGGCAAAAAAGGTCTATCTTAAAGAAACGCACGAACGGGGCGTAAAGAGAGATGAAGAAAGCCGGGGAAAGAGAGCAAACGTTTTGAAGGTGGTCCAACCAGCAGACCCCAAAAACGTGCTCGCATTATGAACACATTAAAAAGCCACAATGCGCTGTACGCAGGCTTCCGGTCCAGTATAGTTTTTCATTCCATATATTCCCAGAGTAACGTCAACAAACCGCAGTCGTCTCTTTATCCCTTGTCTTGACCATCGTTCTTCCGTCTCCGCTATGAAACCACCCCTTTCCTTCTGTCTTCTCTTTTCCATTCTCCTTTTTTCCGGGACTCTTACTACGATGCTTCCCTCCGTCTCCATTGCCGGGATCCGATCAATCAATGCAAGATTTTTGCGTTGACTGGCTTGACTGAGGGACCGCGCTCCCATCTATGGGCACTAAAACGTGTCGCCAACATCGCGAACAAGAAGCAACTAACTGTTGCAAACTAAAGAATACCAAGACGCACCTTTCGGACCATCAGCCAAGTTCTTCATCTCTCTCGCGCCTTCTTTTGCCATATTCTGGTTTTCTGCCTCAATACCTTCGTTCGCTCTACGAGAGAATACATGCTACTTGTGTCCTTGCCTCTCCTTATCGTCATGCAATTTCATCCATACTTTCTCTTGAACGTGATCTGCCATCCGTGTCGGCAGATGGTGGCTTTATGTATCAGAATTCTGATCGCACACTCGGACATGTAACAGGCTTATCTGGTGAAACAAGAACAATTGGAGGAATATTCGAATTTGATGAATCGTAAACTATGCATACTGCTTACAAATCTAATTGAGAAACGTACATTTTCTTTTAGAATTTGACTTCGTGAGATTTTAATCATGTTATTTCCTTTAACAAAATTAAAATATATTTAATTTATATACATTTACAGATTAATTGATTAAATTTACATTTAAGAAATAAAAATTTATCAAATATAAGGACCATATATCCAAATGGGAAAAGAGACAATCAACTTATAATTAAACGTTATGATATAATTACATTACTGACACAAGATAAATTTTGAAAAGAATTACTCTCTAAAAGAAAGTATTTGTAATTATCGAACATGAGAATGTAACAGAGTTTATACATTGTCGCACACGAGTGTTACATCGCTAGTTACGTACCCTTTATAGTCGGTACATCAGCACGACTCTGATTTATGCGCCGTAGATCGGACTGTCGTGTCGTATCGTCGTTTATAAAAGTTTCATGCACGAAATACTTTGCCGCGCGCTCGCGCGTGCGCGACCTGTTATGCCCTGGAGACAAATTGGTGCACGTTGCTCCGTCTCTCCAAGCCCACCGTTATACTGGCAGATCCACATCAGGTGTTCCTGTACACGTCGTGGCGTCACCGATCGCTCGACCAGGCAATAAATCTGTAATTAAATAATAAATAAGGAGCGTTCTCTCCCTGCCGTCCGAGTGACGACGGGCTTTCGCCCATATCGGGTCCTACTTCTTTTTGTCATCGCTCATTCCTCCAGCATCTTCGCGTGCTCCGTTTCCTCTTCATCTTCTTTCTACCTCTCCACCTTCCTCGCCAATGTCAACTACCCTTTTCTTGCACGCTTCTCGAGCCATTCGTCGCACACATACGCGATAAGGAAAATATACGATACGTACAATACATGCTCGATAGGATAGAGACGGAGACGAAATACATGAGGCTGTAGAGCCGACGGAATATCGCAGTGCATAATAAAAGTGCCGCTGATCAAAGATCGCTGATCAGAGCGATAAAATGAGAGCGGTGTCGACTTTTTCGAGAGATTATTTTTGCCCCTTTCGAACCTGGTCGCCTAGTTATGCTAATACCCGCCGACCTAGACTTATTTGCCTCTGCTCAGCGGGACATGGCACGCGAGTCTTCTTTCTTATTCAGCATGTTCTTCATGTCTTCCCTTTATCGTCGTCGCTTTGAATTGCGAAGAGCCGCACCGCCGGCGATAAGGTTGACGCGCGGCATTCCGCACGCTCATAATTACATTCCACGTACTTTAATCGATACAAGATGAATCGATTTAAAAAGGAAGGATTGTTTTTCTCTTTTCTACTTTTAACATTAGCTTCATTATAGTTTTCTAGGAATTTAATAAATCTGTAATTAAATATTATTAACGCAGAGAATAACTCTGCATAACATTAATTATAAAAAAGAGAAACATTAATTTTCTTTTGTAATTTTTTTACTGTAAGTAACATTATTTTGTGATTAGAATATGGATGACATTTTATTATAATTTAATTTGAATTTGCATGTAATTTTCATGTGCAGCTTTTTATAATCAAAGAGCATAAATGTTTTATGGATTCATAAGAAATATTACAAGTCATCATTTCACTGACAATGAGATCTCTTTATTACAATCCACATTATGGATATCAAAAAGAATTACATACATTTCACCATTTATTTTCGTGTTGGATCGTTACCGATTAGAACTTTTGTAACGGAGAAAACTAGATTCCGGTAGAAGCTCATAACAGTTATTCGGTCAGTTTAGCGTCGACCCGTATTTGCAAATCCTGACATGGCCACGGATACGGTAAACCGGTCGACTGCGTACGTAACTTCCGGTAAAGCCGCGACGGTTTCTCGAGGTAATTTGTGAGCTAGTTTCGAGCAGAGTATCGTAATCCGCAATAACGTTATGCGGCGTGAGCCCGGGCCTGGCCGCCCGCCGGGTCTGGGAGTCTTATGTCGGGATTACTTGGCTTACCGGGCACGCGAAGCCGGAAGCCACGGGGGTGTCTGTCCGAAATACACCCCAGGATTACCCGGTGCTCCCCCAGGAAGGAAGGAACAGTTTCGAAAACTTGCAACGCCGAGATGTGCACAGCGAACTGTGCTCACGATTCTGATAGGGCGCAGTAATAATGCGATATGTCACGAGTAATTGCCATAACATCTTTTCAGTGAAGCAAGCCTACACTGAAAGAACAACTTTGCTGAAGTAGCTAAAAATTTCACTAGATATATAGATCAGAAAATAATTTTGTTGGATCATCAAAATAATTAAGTAAGACGCTCAAGATAGTTGCTAGAATTATGTCAACATTTGTACAACATTATGTTTGAGCCGTCTACATAATAATTTTGATAGTCTAATAAAATGATTTTCAGATCTATATCAAATTAATTTTTTTTAGATACTCTAGTAAAGCTGTCCTTTCCGTGTATTTTCTGATAATTATAACTGAAGAAATAAAAAATTTCAGGCTTTCTTTAATTAAACCGATTAGAGACTCTTGTGAAAATAAAATACAATTTAAAATAAATAATTAATGAGAGCGCGAGCAACAGTAAGCAATTATATTTCATTAAAGTGAAATTAACACATCAAATTTTAATGTTTTAGCTCAATTATTTGAACCATCCTCAGCAAATAATTAGTCTCAAATGGCACAGATTAGCGTTCAAAATTGTGCCTCACACTACACCGACATTGTTGAGTCGAATTTCAAGTTTAAATTGATAAAAAAGGAAGAAGACATCCATTCTCAATTATTAGTCCCGATGGAAAGAGTTATAAGGTAAATGAAAGGTTTAAAAATTGTTTAAATACGTAAATCTAAAATAGCAACTTACCTCAAAAGTTCGTAAAACACAAGATAGAAGAATGGACGTTGATTGAAATTCAGTCATGATAATAAAAATGTTATGAAAGGTGAAAAACAGTCAAAAAAACGAATGTAAATATTTAAAATTATAATAAGCCAGAACAATGATGTAACAAAATTGACGTCAACAGTCAAATGAGCCAGAAGAGTAAGTAATCTATCAATATAAACATATCACTTCAAAACAATTGATTGCAAAAAGCTACAGAAGATAACTTACTTAAAATTGATATGTATGTATGATTTAAAATTTTAAAAATTTCGTATCTGTTTGAAATTTGATGCTATTATTTTATCGCTTATGTAACTCTTCTCAGAGATCAAGCTCTTCTAAGGGAACGCTCGCTCTCTCTATCCATAATTTTAACATTATTCCAATCAAATTTATGCTGCATCCTACGATCTGTAATTATTTTTTTTTTTTTAAACTTCGCCCATCTATGGCAATTAAAACAAGAACGTCTTTGGACTTCTCAAATTGGCAATCACGTTTACCTTAAAGCGCATCGTGCGTGCATGGATGCGACAAATTCTTCAGGTTCGAATTTGTATCTCGAAGGAATAAGGGCATGATAATTAACGTATCTACACGTACGTGCATTTCGTTTCCTATCACGGATCGTTGCATCGCAATACATACAGTGATGCCGGTATCTGATGTTCCAAAGTAAGATCAGGAATGATACAAAAAAGAAGGATGATTGTGCATACGTACCGAAGGACAAGAACAAGCCACATCGCCATCGACTTCAAATACTTCTTAATATGCAACTTTTTCTTAAATATATCCTTTTGCCAGTGGTATGCTTAAATTTGGGCACATTTCCATATTCGTCGTATTCTTCTCGTGGACGTTGCAAATTCCTGCGCGGAATGCTTCTTTGCTTACAATGAATGATACTTTTTATCGAGATACGTGAACGAAGAAAGTTGTACAACGATGGTATTATTAACTTTATCTGTTACCGATATAATTAATTCGAAATAATTAATATAAACTCTTTTAAAATATATATTTGCAAAGAAAAGATAAATTATTTATTTCTAATAATATTATTTTATTCATTTCAGGTGTCAGGCAAGTGCAGGATATCTACGTCAGGCTTATAGACTCTGCGACAAAACAAGTAAGTACAAAATCTCTGTGTCTCTAATTAATCCAACAAAACGTTTTAAATATATACTATAATTCATTTATATATATCATTAAAAATTAATGTATTAATGCTTTTTTATGATTAAGTTTTCTAAATTTTTTTAACACGCGCAACTTAAAGGATATTATTATTAAATATCTTTTCACAAGTTTTTAATAATTATTATAATATATAGGAAAGGACGGACTATTTTTGTTCATCTTTTTCTTCTTCTTACATAATATTTAACCAAATTGGTCTGGATGTCAAATTTCCAGATTAATTTGGTTAAAATATTACGCATAATATGTCTTTCGTGTAAAAAATTAGATAATTTAGAAAAGCATGCCAATCGTCTCATTGTCGAGCAACTCTTGCACAACCTTCTGTGCCGTTTTTACGCGTCGGGACTCGTGCGAAATCGTCGTAGCGACGCGCGCACGTGGACGGGGGTGTTATCATCTCGGCTACAAGCACTTAATTTTCCGGGGGGTTGATTCTTACCCCTCCGGGAAAGCAGGCACATCGCCGCGCGCGGCTGTCCCATCCTGTTATCTGCGCCACGTGGCGAACTCTGCGCGCGACCCGCGAACCACGTGTTGTGATCCCGCACCCAGGACCGTAGATCCCGACGCACCGATAAGGCGCAAAGAAGGATCACAACCTTCGTGCAAACGCAAATACACCGTGCGATCATGAGCGCGATAAGTCCTTTTATGTTCGGTCGAGGGTAACTTTTAGCCTACGACACCTTCGTGAGAGGTATATTTCACACCTACGAAATGTCACGACATGTAGAGAAATGACCATATCGTAAAAGTTAGGGAAAATAATATGTAAACAAAGTAAGTGGACGGATGTGAGCAATTTTCAACACTTAAATTAAGCCTTGGTATAATCACATATGTATAAGTTATAACTTAAAAAAAAAAACGAACCAATTGGTGACGAAAAACATGAACAAATTGCGATGTACGCATAATTTAAATTATTTTATTTCATGCGTACATCGCAATTTGTTCGTGTTTTTCGTCACCAATTGGTTCGTTTTTTTTTTTTCAAGTCATCGCAATTTTATTGATTTCTAAAGAAAGATAATAGTTTAAAAAATAAATTGAAACGTTGTATTCTTTAAACAAAAAGTTATTCATTCCTAAATGGAACCTAAAAATCATCTATCATTATATCAATATAAAATAAATATAAACTATTTGAAATTATTTCGTGTCGTGTGATCCGAGCTTCCAACAAGTTCCTAGAGATATGCGCACCATTTTAGCAAATTAAATCATCTTGGGGCTGGTCGGTTACGGAGGTAAGAAGAGGGTGGTAGTAGGGTGAAGGAGTGGAGAGGAAGAAACGAAGAGGGTTGGGGAAACAGAGTTGATGTTAGTTTTAGCTGATTAAATTACTAAGCCGCAGTGGCCTTGCACCGGCAGAGACCGGTCCTCAATTCGCGATCCATTCCTTTTATTAATCGGATCCGGGATGTCATAGGGTTGAATGGTTAGAATAGAGGAAGATCGATATGTGAATTATCCTTTGAAGCAATTGATAAAATAAGAACAAATGAATTAAAAGAATCACATCGAGAGACAGACACTGGAACTATTTAGCTATAATTTGCGAAATGTCTCACACAATTTCTCAATTGTGTACGATATCACGAAGTGCACGCAAATATTCAAAATAAGCAATCACATCTATAGTAAGCTTAACTTGTAGAAACTATGCTAAAGAAAAGAAGAGTAAATTGAGAACGCGAAAAAGGAAAAAAAGATCGAGAATGTTTGAGAACGATTGTCTGTGAGGAAAAGAAAAACGGAAGTGATAGATAGATGCCGAGACACCCTCCTTGGAATCATGCTGGTAAAGGGAGTAGAAAGTTGAACGGGAAAAGAATCGAAAACGAAAAAGCTGCAATTTATACATCAAAGCTTCGATTGAACGCGTCTCCGCCGTCTTACCAAAGCGAGAGGAAGAGATACAGGCAGGAGAATCAATGTATTGTATATTCACCGTGTCGATGTGCGCCGCTACTTGCAACAACTTGCACGAAGTGTTTAGCAAATCCAGGTCGACGTATCCTTCCTGTCTATTGTACTCTAGAAAATTGACAAACCCGGATAAGTTTATCCGTGATTAAAACGTAGAAGATAAAAGAATCGTTTATAACCTGCATTTCAGTTTACCGACTTAGAATTGTTCGTCCGTTGAATCAAAAAATCATTTGTTGATTTAAAAATTACATAAATTCCTCTTTTGATACATTTTAGGATAATTTATACAATTCTGATAATAAAATATATAATTAGAGTTTTTAAAAAAAATTATCTAATACGTCTACATTTTTTTTCATCAAAAAAGATCATAAATTAATTTTGTAATGATATTCATAACATTTTTCAACTTGATATTTGTAATTTAAAAATGTTTGTAATTTGCTTTTCGCAAAAGTGGATGCGTATAGTCGTATTTGTTAGAATTATTATCATTATTTTTACATTGGAAAGCTTGAGAGTATTCGTGCAAATGCGTTTTACTTTCCTGGTGAGTTCTCCAAGCCGAGTTATGGCTTGCAAATTACGATTCGGAAACGCGCCAACTTTTCTCGAGACCGAATCAGGTGCTCGGTTATAAATCCGCAATAATTGGCTACACCGAGTCGGCTGCTGAGTTCATGGTGAAACCCCCAACCCTTAAGCTTTTCTTCAATTTCTTCGCTCCTTCGCCAAGGTAAGTATCTATATCAACGTTCGCTTCCTGGAATTCCAGCGAGCAAAGTATCTGTGCAACGAGATGCGAACGAGAGAGAGAGAGAGAGAGAGAGAGAGAGAGAGGAATGGAAAAAGGAAGTGGGGAAGAAAAAAAGGCGCAGGATGTTGAGAACCGTCCGTTTCTCGGTGAAATTTCCAGAAAAATACGAGCTGCTTCCCGAGAAAGAAACGAGTTTCGTGCAGCGTGGCTGAATGGCGCTAACAACGTACGCTTTTAAGCGCTCGGGAACGAACTTCCGCTCGGTGAGAGGGGGACGAACGAGAGCCAGAATGCGTTTTTTCGCGGGATTAAAAATGCTAAATGGTAATTAGTTCCGGGGATAAAAAAAGCATTTACAGGACGTGTGTGTAGAGGAAGCAGAGAACCGCGCGGCACCATTATTCTAAATGAATGAACAACAGGAAATTGTATATCTAACCTTTTTAAACTCCATCCGACGCTGGAGATGGTCAGCCGTCAGGCTGTTTTTCTCACCGTAATGTCGACTCGTCAGTATTCGCAGGGAAAATAAAAAATCGCGCGTTCGATCACATTATGCGATAATTGTTACTTCCAAGATTTTTTGCGTCTTTTAAAATATTTTAATTTAGCGTTCGTGATTCTACACTGAAAGAAAGGATTGGCTAAATATGGCCTAGCATTTTTAATGGGCTACAGCAGCCAATTTTTGGTTGTGTATAGAAATCGTATATTGACATTGCGGATAGGTCATAGCGCAACCAAAAATTGGCTGCTGCAGCCAATTAAAAATGCTATTCTATATTTTACCATCTAAATTGCTGCAGCCAATCTTTTCTTTCAGTATACAATTTAAATTATCGAATCGAGTCAACATCAGTCTAGAACATAAAATGCCTGTAGCTAATACTGAAATATGAGTCTTTAACCATAGATTAAGGAAATAATAAGTTCGAGATAAGTTAATCCTGGATAGATAAGGAGAGAAAGAGAGGTCGACGTTCCCCTCAGGCGGTGGACATTCTTCTAGGGGCGAGGGTAACATTGTATGTATGTTGTTCAACGTATGTACGAGAAGCTGCGGGGCCGATATAGAAGGGGATTCCCAGGGGACTTTTGGAATCGATTCAGAATGGAAATCATTACGGCAGATTTGAATGACTATCTTCGAATTTATCTGCTCCCTTCAATACTTGCTTTCCTTCTCGTACTACTGCCATCTTCGAGGACACCAAAAAAACGACATTACGGTTTTATTATCATGCACGCCGGTTCTTTCCACTGAACGATACCAGTCTGTCGTCTGTTGATATCAAATATGATATCCTATGGTAAACATAAGATATCTCGATAATGATATCGATATATCGGAATGATCGCTTCCGCCGGCCTTGATTGTTATCTGATTGTTAGATTATTGAAACTGATAAAATCACATAATATAGTCACGTTATTTTCAAAGCTGTAAATATTACAGATATCATAGTTGGAAGATTAGTTTGTATAGTTATTATACATATACTTGCAAAAGCAATGTGAAGAATTGCCTTTTCGCGGTATATATTTTAACTTAAAAAGTTTTATTTTAATGCATTGAACTTTACGATATCGTATTATATGAATTGATTATGATAGGAGATTCCAAAGGACTTTTCACTATAAGTCCTTAGTAAGTAATTCCCGTGGGAATTAAGCTACGGCGGGGGCCCAAGCATTTTCCTGATGGGACCAGGAGGCAACGGAAGAAAGGCCCCCGAGGGGATCGTACTGACTGGTCGCACCCCCAGGACCCTCTGTTTGATGTCGTTGCCTCCGACCACCCTTCGCCTACTTCAACCGTTCACCCTTGAGACGTTCTACGACATAACATCGCCATATCCAATGAACCGCTGAGCGAAGAAAGACAGTGGAACCTCTTTTGGGACCAACACATATAAATCTAAATCCTAAACACATATGTGAATCTAAACTCAGGATATTGCAATAACTTAGGACTTTAAGACACAGTTCCTAATGAGAATGGTGCATTTTGATGCTTTTCTTATTAATTGCAATTGTTTTATATTTAGCTTAGTATAAATATACTATTTCTTATATATTCTGTTAAATGTTTCTTGTATACGCAAAAAGATAATGTTCTTGATAGTAAGGAAAATAAACAAGTAGCTTCTGAGATAGATCATGTGATGAAAGTAATTGCTTACAAATTGTCTGTATGTATTGTAGGCATACACTGAATAAACAAAACGCGTAAGCACTCCGTCGTTAAGCAAATAACATTGCATGTCACGTGTAACGCGCTACATGACCTGCCTGACCATCGTTGTGTTTAACCGACGGTTATTGTGTACGTGCAATAATACTGAAGATAATAGCATCCAATTGTTTTGATTTTATCAGAAATCCTATTGTTTCGATGTAAAAGCTGATTTTAATGATTTTCGAAGCAACGAAAGCATTATTAAGGTCTCTCATCTTACATTTGTATTAATATGTGTAATGATTAAAAAAAAATTATTAATAATTTTCTACATATACAATTTTTATACAATGTAAAAGGAAGAAAAAGTTTGTAACCGATCAAATACGATATAGTTTAAAAAAATGCTGCATTTAATATTTACGTCTTTATATATTTGCATAAACAAATGCCGGTAAGAATTAATTTTTTGTATTCTCAGATTTTCCATCAGAGAAGAATTATGTCTTGATTTTATCTTTATGCATGTTTATACATAATTCATCAAATTTAAATAGCTGATGTAAAAATAGAAAAGTCAATTTCTCGCATATTTCAATTTCGTGTATTTTAATACATAGAGGGAAATTATATTCATACGTGAGAAAAGGAAAACATTTTGCTGTTGCTTGATTAGAGAAGTATATTAATTTTGATGAAGAAGTGTATTAATTTTAGTAGACAATCCCCATAACAATTATATCACACTCTGTGTAGTTCTGTCAACTCTAATGAAAAATTCTGATTCAACAAGCGATATTTTGCACAAAACTTAATTGGCTAGGTGTAAGTAAACGCTATCTTTATCTCGCGACAGAGCTTAATATGTACAAAGTACATACTTATGTTAATTATTCCTGGTATAAATAAGTTAGCATGTCTCCTTACTATTAAGACTCGTAATAGTTGAGTGGCACGTAACGTTCTGTGACTCCTTCCTTTGCTCCTGGCAAGAACATGTACTTTCCCCTGCCATCGTCTGCGATACCCCCTTTCGCCATGTTTATTCTTACCCCCCTATTTTCCATCTCCGTTTCGACGCCGAATCCCTTTCTGATTTACCTACTGTGATGTATATATACAGCAGTTCGTTTACGTTGCAATTCGGTTATTTCCGCATAAATATTTGACGCCATTCTGGAAGTCGCACCTACACACTGGAACTAAGTGTGTCTGATACCATTACCGTCGTACACCGACATTTAACCGGCCAAGCACGGCGGCGATGCCGTCAACTCGACGAATTCCCTTGGACACTGTATTTCACAATATTTACATTTTATCGCTCCTCGTTGTGAACTCCAACGATTCAGGCTGTTATGCAAACCACGAAATTGCGTAAAAATCGCGCGTACAATCAATGCAATTGTACACGTTTGTCCTTCGAAATTTCGCTTCATCAAAGGCTTCGATCATCCTGCAAAAAGACATTCGAAATAACTCATTTAGCAAAATACTAATTCAATTGTTATCGCAATTATGCCATGAAAAATTTAAGTTGCACGTAACGTATTTAAATACTGTCATATAAATTAATTTTCTATCAATAAATATATCAATAGATATATAGGGTGTTTATGAACTGGTGGTACATCAATCAGGAAGAGAGTGATTCTATGTATACGAAAAATAATTGGAAATGTAAAATAAAATTCTGTCTTTATTTTTAAGAAAATCGATAAGTTAAATATTCGCAAAGTACAGATTTAATTGATAAATTAAAGAGCACAATACATTAAAAAGCGTTCAAAGAAATTTATTTTGAAGAGCAGGATTGTATAGTCTACAACGATCAATTAAATCAAGATATAGTTATAATTTATAAGCACACGTAACTGGTGAATATTTAAAGTTGTTTCTTAAAAACAAAGCCTCGTATAAAGAAATGTTATTCTACGTTTTCGACTTATTCTTCATGTAAAATTACCTCTTTTCCGATTATACTAGTTCACGAACGTACATAAAATTTAATTTTGTATGTAAATGCTTTTGATAAGAACGACATTTGGTTGAGAGATGAGTTATTTTCTTATTTTATAAAGTTATATACGAGAGATCAAAGCGAACCTATCTGTTCGCGCTTTGTTATTCTACGATTAATCCGCGCGAAGGTCCCCATCGGTAAGTGCACGAATACAGGATAACGACGTGTTGTCATTAAATAAAAATCAATCGGGTGGTCGTGAAGGAGGCTTAACGGATTTGCCTGCGCCGCCCATGGCTTAGTACTCCTGCGGGGAAAGTAGCCCCTTCTCAACTCGCATCCACATACGAGCTTGCTTAATACGTTACATATTTCCCATCGATGGTTGAATTATCTGTCGAACTGGATTACTCTCACGTCGTCCACGTCCGCGCTAATTAGCACTTTTTTTCAAAATAAAATGTAAAATAAGTCTTTCCATATATAGAACGTAAGAAGCAGATTCGACGCGATATTGTAAGAAATTTAAACAAATAATTGTGTGACCGGCAACAATTGTTTGTACGATTAATTTATAGTTTAGCGACTAAATTAGATAAAAATAGAAACAACTTATGAGAAATTTATCACAAGTTATTTATGGATTATTTTAATAATTTTTTTTTATATTAAATAATATTGTATGAATGACTTAATATTATTATTGTATACTTTTCTGTTATAGGCAATCATGTACGAGGGGCAAGACAAGAATCCGGAAATGTGCCGTGTTCTGTTAACGCATGAAGTCATGTGCAGGTATGTGTTTTTTATATTATACAGATCATTGATGCCTTCCTATTTGAAGTTCTACATATGATATAACATATGTATACATGTAAAAGTGAGAAGACATCAACGACCTTATATCTTTGTTTATATGCATAATTACTTGACAATGAGTTAATTTAGAGGTAAATTTTTACTAATATTTATTACATCTAATGTAAAGTTTTTTCATACACGTCGACTTATATTATTTGCGCTTAGAAAAGTATCCCTCCTCCGCGTACGCTACCCTTGTGGCATAAACGTAACGAGGCATACGAGGATGTAGTCGTTCTTCGGGGGTAGCTGACTCATTGTGACCCATGGGATTTCGGGAGCGTACCATCACTAGTTTTCCGAATCCCATGGGTCTCGATATTTTTTAGGCCGATTTGAAACTTCTGACACTGCGCGAGAGCATCTATTCGTGTCTTTTTTTATAAGAATAAATTTCGCCGCAGTTATACGTATAAGATAAAACGTATTGTCTATTTACAGCCGATGCTGCGATAAGAAGAGCTGCGGTAACAGGAACGAAACGCCCAGCGATCCTGTCATTATCGATCGGTGAGTGGAATCTATCATTATCTAACTTTCGCGAAACGAACGTGTTGGTATCGCGACGGCTATGATCTGCTTAAACGCGTGAATTTATCTCGCATGCGTTACGTAAGAGTTACGAGCGCGTTATATGATATCGAGGCGCACATGACGGAATCTCGACTTGACGGCGAACGTAATGACAAGAGGCGTCGATTTCGTAGAAACCGCCTCTCGTATCAGCTGGTCGTCCGTGCTATCGTCATTTTCAACGATCTATGAAATAAAGGTCCAGATAAGTCCTTCTCGAAGGACCAACGTATGAGATAGAGCTCCGTCTATCGTCGCGACCTAGCTCCTAGAACATTTAGGCTTGCAAAATACGTTTCCTACGAGGTGCGGCGGGATAGCCGGGTAGAAGAGTACTTGAATACTCGGGCGTACTTATACGCCCTTCCACCTTGTGCATGGTGCTGTTCGTCCATGGTAACATAGACTTCCCTTATACACCTACTCGCTCGCTCCCTCTTCTTCCCGCGTACACGCTCGGTCTCTATCCCTTGGCGTGGCTAACACGGGGGTGTAGCAGGGTGAGCCTGGTATCTGAATAGGCTATAGAGTATCCTGAGATAGGAACGGCAGGAAGGAAGAGGTTTCCCGCGGGACCCAGGCCGAGATAGTCTTCAGGAGGACATCTTGTGCTCAGAGGTGCTCAACCCTCGGGCTTCGATACGCTGGCGGCTTCGAGCTTTCATCCGTATTCGAAGGGATATGTGTTACGCGACGGTGACAGGCAAAGCCCGGTAGGCTCGCGTGTAACTATTTTTCTGCGCCTTCGAGTCTCTCGACGTCTGCACCTGTTGGGTTTAACCTCGACATCATGTGACAGTCGTGTTTTATTTGCCGATGTTTGAAATTGGTTTGATGGCAAAATGGGTCAAATTGGACAGTAACTTTAAATATGGATTGTAAAAAGATATTTTAAATTTAATCTTGTTGTCTGTGCAGTTTTTAAAATATTATATGTTACAAATAGAATAAGTTTTGAAAATCTCAAGATAAAATAAATTAGGGATATTAATAACGTTCTCGTGATATCAATGTTGGATAATATTGACGCAGGCCACGGTACAATGCATATTGTTGGAGTTGAAAGAATAATAACTACCTTTCCGTAAAGATTATGCAATCTCGTAGGTTGGGCTGATCGGTGAGACGATAGAAGAATTAATCTCGAAAATGCTTGTTCGGCACACGGCACGCACGCACTCGAATAATATCGTAACAACGGCGTTGTAACGTGAATGCAACCACAATGCGGTCGCGTGTCGTGATGAACGCCACCCTCGAGTTCGTTCCGTAGACACGGTGGATCGTAACGAGAGTAAAATAAATGGGTAACTTCCGCAAAATTACAGGATTAAATCTTCACTATGACCATCTTTAACATTTGCTAATCAGAATAATCTTGCTGTATGCAACATCAACGTTGACCACGATTATTCATGACATATTAATCATACACTAATGTATAATCATGCAAATGCATTAATTTAATCGCTAAATTTAGCTACATTAGATATTGTATAACTCGAAATACGGTTCAGAATGTCATGTTTTTTCGTTTGTTACTAATTTGCTTATTATCAAAGTGCGTGTAATTTTTTTCTGTGACCGATGTTTACTTTTATATTCTTCCAAGTGAATATAAACGCATAAATACAGGATATTAAAAAAGTTTTTATGATAAAGATTTTTGTGACAAAGTTTTGTATTTATCAAGTTATTACGCAAGCAAATAACGTCAGTTTTTTACTGTTGACACTTAATAAGATATAACTATAACAGTTCAGAATTTATTTTTTGTAAATATATATTACTAACGATTTACTAAACACAAACTTTAAACTTTTTTATCACCCTGTATATATTCATAAAATATTTCCTTACACTTCTCGATATATAGGTATATATATATATATATATTGCTTACGGGAATATATATATTGGAAGGCTAATAGATTTTCAGTCTCGCACAAAACCACAATGGAGAACGCGAAAGCCTGATCGAGAGAGAGTGAGCGAAGGGTATCAATGCCACTTTGATTGAGACGGTCCTGGTCGATTGTGACATGCTCACTCAGCTGTACAGAAAGTACAACGCGCCCCCCATCAATTTGGTATACCTGACTGAAGGGAAAAACAATGCGTTCGTATTCCTAATCGTGATCATCCCTTTGCGCCACTTTCGATGCAATATCCGATCGTAACTTTCGCGGTTAAAATCAACATCATCTCGTGACGTAAATTATACGCTTATAAATTTGACGTATATTATATAATATTTAATTAATGTTAAAGATTTGTAGAAACGATTTTTTTTTCAAATCTTTTATATTTATTACAATAACTCTTTTTATTTAATGAAAAAATCACATACATTTTCTTTTTAGCCTGGATTCTTTATTACTTGATACTCAATTTAATTTGGAAAATCACAAAATATATTGATGCTATACGCATATATTCTGTCAACCGACAAATATAGATGCAGATTCATAAAAGTTGCAGAGGTTTTAACTCTCTTCTATACGCGAATAGCAGTTTGATGTAATCGGTTCATCGATCGATGGTGATGGCATCGATCGATGATAGGCGGATTGCGAGAACAGTCCTAGAGAAGCTGGTATTACGCTGGACTCGGAAACCAATTAACATGCATAATTAAAATGGCATTGTCGTGGCCGGGCAACGCCACGGGCTTCCCCGCCGACTGACGGATCCCCGGGGGCTAACGGCGTTTCATAATTACGAAAATCCACCCACCTCCATCGCCTCCTCCGCCCGTGCGTTCCGGTGTCACTCTCTTTCTCCAATTGCCAGTATCCAGAAGCTCTCCCCCTGAAAACACGGAAAGGAGGGTGGGAACGCGAGAAAAAAATCGGGCATCGGGTCGGTGTGCGATGAACAACGCATCCCGGCACTGCCACAGCCAATAACGTTCGAACAGGCAGGTCGCTAGCGCGATTGGCTAACTTTATTTCGCTCAGTGGGCAAGCCCTTAATTTCGGGGCATCGATCATAACCCTCGTGTGCGCCCTCCGCGCGCTGCAGCGGCGCTCTTCCTCCTCCTACGTCGCTTCCTCTCATCCTCCTCCACGCGTTCATACCAGTCGCGATGACCCTCAATACCGTGACGCACCTCTCTGCCATTCCCTCCGTCAATTTGATGGATTCCATTTCGGATCTCGTTCGACGACGATCGTTTCGCTTCCCCCGTGCCTACACGCGGCCTCTCCGAGGGGACGCAACGGCGAAATTTTGCACGAAAAAAAAAATACTACGAGGCTGGTCAGCGCCGCGATAAAAGTTAATCCGCTCGTGGCCAGGCTCGAGCCAAGCAGATTTTAGATCGTTCTAATCGCTCAAGCGTTGAAGCGTTCCGTTAATTGTTTAATGGAGCACCAAAAAATTTTTAAATGATTAAAGAAACTAATGTTTTTATACGATAAAACTTATATTTTTTTTAAAGAAATTCCTTGAGAGAGTAAAATATAAATATCAATATATATGCATATAAATTAAATTCGATAAAAATATATTAACATGAGATTTACGAATATTATGTCATTATTTTACTTATGAACTACTTGTAGATTATAAAAAGAAACACAAAAGAAAGCTTTGAACTTAACTTTATTTAAATTTTATATAGTAAGAAATTAGAAATAACATTTTAATGTTTAAATATACCAAATTTTTATAATTAAATAAATGTCTCTTACTGAAATCACGGAATGTTATGTATTTAAAGACAAAAAAATAATATAAAATAATTTAAATAAAGTATAAATGTCAAGTACGGAAACATTTTTCACTTCCACGATATAGCTTGCGCAATGTTCCGTTATGCTCCACATAAATATCGGCTCACGATATTCTCTTCTCCGAGTCCAAACGCGTAACAATCAATCGTTACCTTAATTGATTGCGATTGATAGAGGACGCTCGGGCGATTTGACTGACGTCACAATGACATACGGATTGTCAATCAGTCTCGCTTGTGGCGTTAATGCATGCAAATCTGGTCGAATCGTGGCACGTTGTCTCACACCCTTGCAGCGAATCTCCATCAATATGGATTCGATATCAAGGCCGGTCAGGCCGTTTTCTATGCGCTCGCTGAAAAGTCTTTCTACGCGAATGTCACAATATTTTATTCAACCGTAATTGTCCATTTCTCCGTTCCGCCAGTTCATTTTTTGCCTTTTTACTGTTGTTTACAGCAAAAATTGACACTCGTTGACAAGCATTTTTGACAAGCATTCCGTCGTGATACGATGGCAGGAAATTTTATATTTCTTTTTATTAACAGTAATATTATGCATATATAGAAAAATATTTATTTTATCTATAATGTACATATTTATCGCTGTGTTAGAAAACAGCTCAAGTTAAAAAATCGATTTGTTTCCGCTGTTCTATACATGATCAACATCCATTATAGAAATTTAATTTTAGGGAATGAGACAAACATCCCAGTGACCGGACATACACCTACGTCCGAACATTTACACAAAATTTTATTTGTTTATATTATTTTATTCCCAAATGCTTTTTTAAATATAATAGGTATAATTTAATTGTAATTTTTAAATACAATTAAATTATAATATTGTAATAAAAAAAGCACTTACGATTAATATAATAATAAATTTTGTATAAGTGTCCGGTTAATGAGACGTTCAGCTTAGTAAATGAATTACTTATTTTGAGAATTAAAAACATTGTTGTTCATTGCTTTTAACTCAAAATAGATAATTTTCAATATTAAATTGAATTTCTATAAGAAATGACAATTACTATATGATGTTCACACTTTTCAAAAGCTACAAAACCGATTATACGTAACAAACAACCGAAAATGATCAGATCAGAATTAATTTTAGTTTACGTAACAAGTACGCTTACGTATCTATATCGAGCGACTTTTCACAAAAATAATTGGCATCGGTCGACAAAGATAG